TTTCCTGCTGACAGACTCTCTGCAGACATTATAGACCCAGACATTTTAGGAAATTTAGAAATCCCAGCCAGGACATGCACAGGAAATAGAGGACGTATGGTCACCCTATCTAGTGCTAAGTTATGACAGATTTGTTAACAATAGCGAGGGGTATATAAATAGGAATGATAGGCCTACTCATGTTCAGGTATATGGTACTATGCCAAATTTTTACTCAAAGGTCAAAGTAGTCAATAAACATGAACTTAAACTGAAAATAATATTAGAAACATTAATTGCAGTTAACTATTAACAAGTAAAAAGGCTTGGGTATTTTTTTCTAGCTTTCTGTTACCTCAGTGTCCCTCATCTCTATACAAGCATTTGTTTATATTTGTCTTGCACCAATTTTCATGTAACCGTTTGCCGTTACTGATGCATTGAAAAAGTGTCTGCTAAATGAAATGTTCTGACAGTTCAAGTGACAGATTTTCTCATTAAAATAACAAAGCAACCTATCTCATCACCTTTTTTGTCTGTTATGGGGCAGATCATCATCTTAACAGACTGGGTTTTAAACCTATAGTTACTGTTTTTGCTGTTACACAAAGTTGAAAATCCTGCAGTATTTTGATGGAAATGAAAACCATGGTACACTTTTGAAAAGGTGACACCAGCCACATCCTTTGGTGGTTGACCTCTAAAAAACACAAACACATTTTTTCCTAACACCACTAAATTTTAATAAATGTAACCACAAGTGGTGCACAGAACACAAAATAATGCCTCAATACTGTTACGTTGCAGGGTATCAACTTCCCACTGAACCCGTGAACAGTACATCGCAAATTCAATAGAAGATCACACGCTAAACACAAGCAATTACTGAAAACTGTGAGTCAGGAAGCAGAACCCCTTAAAACAGAGGTTAAATGGTACAGAGTAACTCATTTGTCAAAATTAAATCAACAGTCTTATTTTTCATATTGTTACAATGCATTTGTTTTGAAGGCCCACCTAATATTATATGGGACACAAAGTAATTTAAGTCACATATTAACCAGGCAATAGATAAATTACAGTATATGATGATAGCCACTATCTCAATCATACTGTAGTGTTTTTACATGAAATTACACAGATCATATGCATAAAATTCCCTTATGGACATTTTCTTTTTTAATAATTAAGCAGACATTTTGATTATGATTGAGAGCTGAGTTGTTTCGGATCTTTCGGTCTCTTAAACAACCAAAAAGCAGTAATTCTACAAGTATAAATGCCACAGCAAATTTGACAATCTCAAGTTTGCTTCTTGCCTTTTCAGATTTGATTCATTTAGGCAGAACTGTGCAACAAACACCACACTTACTGTACGCGAGACCACCTAATATATCTGTCAACATGCCATTCAAACATGAAAATACGTATGAAGCAGAGGTAAAGAGCATTTCTCATCCGTAGCGATGAAACAACAGCAGCAATCAAGATGGCCGTAAGCCTCCTTAGATCATGTTGATTTCATGAAGTTCACCTCAAAACAAAAATGATTTAAAAATAGTTTTCCAAGTTTCTAAATTGGTTTGTTTTCCCTTTGCAGGAAGGAGAAGGGGATTCTGTTACGTGTGAGCCTCATAGGCCTTTACCCCTTTACACTTTGCTGCTCCACAGGGTTGTTGGAAAGAGTATGTAGGAAACTGACCATAACAAGTAATAAACGCATGCTGGAGGGAAGGAGGAGCAAAACACCATGGCAACTCCTAGAAAAAGAGAGGAAAAAGGTTAATGTAGTTATTCAGTAAATATAGGTAAATATTTAATTGTACATGCTAATTTCCCTAATTTTTACAACCAACACTCAATTAATCTTTAAAAGCACCAATACTTCACACTATTAAAATGTAATCTTTAGCAAATCTCAAAAAATTTTTCATACTGTACTTTATAGTGTTGTGCATAAATTCACATGTAGCATTCAAAAAGACAGATTTTTTTTAGTGTTACATTTATTAATTTATTTAGACAAAATTGTGTAGAACTTCAATATCTGCTATGTACTGGTTACTGGCTTTACCTCCGATGTAGACCACCTTCTTCCAAGCCTGAGACTCCAGTACTCTGTCATGTGGGTAGAAGTTCTGACTGACCATGAAGAGAATCATGGCCACTGCTAGGATTCTCAGTACTGCCATATTTCCTCCAGTCAGCAGAGAAACACACACCAGGATGGCAGAGGAGTAGATGCATGGTAGGCCACGGTACATGAATGGGATTCCTGCAGAAAACAGCCCACTTCTAACTGACAGCCACTTATTAACAGCTGTGCTACTTTATACATATATATATATATATATACAAACATACACACACACACATACACAGATATATGTATATCTGTGTGTGTATGCATGTATGTATGCATGTACAGTATATATGTGTATATATATGTATGTGTGTGTGTATTGAAAACAAGTTTGGTATAAGTTCCTCACCGCTAGAGAAGAAGCAGAGACGAGTATAAACAGACAGCACATACAACATGCACAGGATGTTATCCAAAAGACCAGGTGTTCTTAAGATAAGAGATGTTGCTATTCCAAATGTTGTAAAATCAGCAAAATCATCCAACTTTGCACCTGCAGTACAAAAAAAAAAAAACATTGTTGATACTGACACTGTCTTAAAAACAACATGTATGATAAAAGACACTGGAAAAAAAACAGCGAGACTCGAAGCAACTGCCAAGGATGCCATCTAGAAATGCTGTCAGACTTAAAAAGGATAGTTCTGTTACGTTTCCCCTGTCTACTGACTCTTATTTTGAAGTATTGTTCCTGTGCTCTGTCTTCCTGTCTCCATAGTCACTCTCATTTGTTTCATGGTAATTCATTAGCCTAACCTGTTCCACAGTAGCCCCCTGTGTATTTATACCCCTGTGGTTCTGTTTCTAACATCCGTTCGGTATCTTAATACAATTATACCATAATACCATTAATACAATCTGTAAAGAGAAACATGAGAAATCTTCATGCCAGTCCAGAATAGCTTATTATTATAATCTACTAACAACATTTGTTTGGTATCTTAATACAATTATACCATAATACCATTAATACAATCTGTAAAGAGAAACATGAGAAATCTTCATGCCAGTCCAGAATAGCTTATTATTATAATCTACTAACAACATTTGTTTGGTATCTTAATACAATTATACCATAATACCATTAATACAATCTGTAAAGAGAAACATGAGAAATCTTCATGCCAGTCCAAAATAGCTTATTATTATAATCTACTAACAACATTTAGGAGTTGCTTTATCGCTAGTGTGGTTGAAGTGTTTTCATCAGGTTGGGACATTTGAGTGTGTCCAAACAAATGGGCTGGAATTTCAATCCCATGGTCAACAATTTGAGCAATGTCAGATATGCTGGGGGTCCAATGCATCAGGATTAAACAGACAATCAGAACATGATCCCCCCTGAATTAGGCTGCTTCATCACAAACAAACTGTTCAATTGACAAAAAAAGGAGGGGACTGGAAGCAAAACAACACCCATCAGTGAGATCATGCAGAACAACAGGCAACAGCATGCAGCTCAAGAGTACAAGTGACTTGGCATTGTGAGGGCACAGCGAAGCTATTTCAGGCAGTTGAGTGGACGTGACCACCTGCACACAAGCCACTTGTCTTCCACTACAGAGCTGGCAAGGTTGTGTGGTTTGGAAGAGAAAGCCTGCTTGTTTTTTGTTTGTTTGTTTTTACAAAAACTCAAAAGTAATAAATGAATGCATATTTAATTAACTTCATTTTAGATACAGAAAAAAAATCTGCATTTATTTATTAATAATTTGTATTTAATTTAGCAGAAATGTACCATAGCAGTGGGATTAGAAAAATTGTAGGAATAAATTATCAATTTAATAAATAAAACTTCTAGCTTTTTTAATGGACAGACTAACAGACATATTTAAAACCTAACAGTAACACTTTACATTAAGGTTCTCTTTATAAACTGTTTATAAAGGTGTTCATAAATGACTAATAACTCATTTACAAATGCATTATAAATCATTGATAAGCACTTATAAATGCATGAATAAAAAGGGTGATTTTAATGCAATACCTGCCAAATAGTGAGCCATTTTTAACTCACGTTATAAATGCTTAATAAATATATTTATTAATACTTATTTCACTCAAAACTAGATTCCTGATTTATTTCATGATGTAGCATAGACTATTAAAGCGAGTCTGAAGGGTGTTATTTATATTTGTCTCATTTATATCTCGTGAATTATGAACCTTAATGTAAAGTGAACAGCTTTGAACCATTTATTAATGAGTTATAAACGTTAATAACCTATGAAAGTGAACCGTAATGTAAAGTGAACACCTGTGAACCATTTATTAACGAGTTAAATGTCAATAACCGGTGAAAGTGAACCTTAATGTAAAGTGAACACCTGTGAACCATTTATTAATCAGTTATAAACGTTAAAAACCTGTGAAAGTGAACCTTACTGTAAAGTGAACACCTGTGAACCATTTATTAATAAGTTACAAACATTTGTAACCTGTAAACGTGAACCTTAATGTAAAGCGGACGCACTAATCATTTATTTATTGATTATTATTGCACACACATAAAAAGTTGGCATTTTTCAGGGGGAAATGTATTTTATTGTTGTTACACTTTATCAGTAAACAACTTTAAATTTGAAACAAAAAGATTAATATTTTCTTTTACAGCACATTGGAACATTACTGAGTATAACTTAACACAAAAAAAGAGGCTTATACAAGTAAACTCATATTAATCAATTCAGAAAAACAATCAAGTATTCCACCATATTATAACTAAGCATCACATCTATATGACAAAAATATTTGATAAATGCAAGCTCAATAAAGGCACCTAAATATTTATATTTTATCTAATTTAACAGTTTTGAAATAATCATTAAATAAATGACCGAAAGCACCGTTACATAACATTATCATATTAATAAGCAATCAGTAATGATTTTTGATATCACGATAAAGCCCTCTGTAACTTGAGTGTTTGACTATCCACACTTTCAGTACCTGCGAGCGAGCGAAACGTCCGCGGGAGCGCCGTCGCGGTTATTTATTTATACAGTAACTACATTGAACTAACACAGCGATATCAACACTTGAAAAACACAGACTGCAATGTCACCTCACAGTTAGATTACCCGTAAAATCAGAAAACACTGATTAATCACTGAGATTAAAATTTCACTGTTATAAATGCTTAATAAATATATTTATTAATACTTATTTCACTCAAAACTAGATTCCTGATTTATTTCATGATGTAGCATAGACTATTAAAGCGAGTCTGAAGGGTGTTATTTATATTTGTCTCATTTATATCTCGTGAATTATGAACCTTAATGTAAAGTGAACAGCTTTGAACCATTTATTAATGAGTTATAAACGTTAATAACCTATGAAAGTGAACCGTAATGTAAAGTGAACACCTGTGAACCATTTATTAATCAGTTATAAACGTTAAAAACCTGTGAAAGTGAACCTTACTGTAAAGTGAACACCTGTGAACCATTTATTAATAAGTTACAAACATTTGTAACCTGTAAACGTGAACCTTAATGTAAAGCGGACGCACTAATCATTTATTTATTGATTATTATTGCACACACATAAAAAGTTGGCATTTTTCAGGGGGAAATGTATTTTATTGTTGTTACACTTTATCAGTAAACAACTTTAAATTTGAAACAAAAAGATTAATATTTTCTTTTACAGCACATTGGAACATTACTGAGTATAACTTAACACAAAAAAAGAGGCTTATACAAGTAAACTCATATTAATCAATTCAGAAAAACAATCAAGTATTCCACCATATTATAACTAAGCATCACATCTATATGACAAAAATATTTGATAAATGCAAGCTCAATAAAGGCACCTAAATATTTATATTTTATCTAATTTAACAGTTTTGAAATAATCATTAAATAAATGACCGAAAGCACCGTTACATAACATTATCATATTAATAAGCAATCAGTAATGATTTTTGATATCACGATAAAGCCCTCTGTAACTTGAGTGTTTGACTATCCACACTTTCAGTACCTGCGAGCGAGCGAAACGTCCGCGGGAGCGCCGTCGCGGTTATTTATTTATACAGTAACTACATTGAACTAACACAGCGATATCAACACTTGAAAAACACAGACTGCAATGTCACCTCACAGTTAGATTACCCGTAAAATCAGAAAACACTGATTAATCACTGAGATTAAAATTTCACTTCAGAGCACATTGGAACAGTCTTAACAGCGTGACTTCTTCTCTTGAAAAGTGCCTTTGTATCGAATGCTCACCAGCGCCAACTACAGGCTGTGGTACACGCAGGCAACTACAGACACTGGCTTTGGTGATGTGATCCTTTTTTATTTCCAAAATGTAACAGTGTATAACAAATAAGGCAAAAGAAGACACAAATTTGCACATCAGAAGTGATCAGAAATTGTATAACAACATATAATTTACATGAACTATCCCAGGTTTCTAACGTTGATAATCTACATATTATTATAATGATATGTAATATATAATGTATGGTAACACATTATTTTAGGGTCTCTTAGTTGCTTATTAGTAGAGATGCACCGATACCGATGGCCCGATACTGGTCTCCTGCACTCGTACTCGTACTCGTTAAAATGCCCCGATACCAAACGCCGATACCACACAGCATGTGATAAGCGCCATATTCAAACAAAGAAACACCGACAACAGAACAACAGACAGCAGAAAGGAGTTAAGGATGTCTACTACGAAGTATATGTATGCAATGAATATAATGTTAAACATTCAGTATTAACGCCTGTATAGCTGGTGTGCGCGAGCTGATAAACAAAGCACGCTGAGTGGATTGAGTGCGCGGCGGCGCAGATGCGCGAGCTTGTCGAGTGAATATATCTTTCTCACAGACATCACTGGAAAGTTTGTAGTTCGGTCGGATATGTCAAAAAAAAAAAAGTAAAACAATGCACAAATTACT